TCCCTCATCAAACATTTACAGCTTCAGAACAACAGGCTCTGTTTCTGACCTTTAGGTCCTCTGTTGTGTGTGTGTGTGTGTGTGCTGCACTCTGTGTGTGGCACATCGCTTGTGTCTGTATCTTGTGTCTTGGCTCACCACAGCGGGGCTCTGTGTGTGTGTGTGTGTGTGTGTGTTGCTGTGTGACGTGGCGATGCCCTGCTGTGTCGTGCTGTGTGACGGCGTAGGAGGAAGAGTGGGAGGAGGGAGAGAGGGGGTGGCTGGTCAGGACAGCTTGGCAGCCGGCTGTAGGAACACCAGGCAGAGAGGGGAGTCAGCGCCCTCGGCCTCCAGGACTGGACGCAGCCTCCAGGTCTGAGATTAAGCGCCCAGCGGGCCGTCAGTCGGGTTGGAGGAGAAGGCGGCGGTGGATGAAGGAGGGCATGTTATAGCTGCTGAGGACTGATGGTGAAAGGATGTTGAGAAAGTTGTTAGTGATGGAGGAGTGGAGCTCCTAATGAAGAGGGACAGGATTAAACCCTTCAGGGCAGAGTGAGGACAGTGTGAGGGGGAGAGCAGGGAGCAGATTGTGGAGGAGAGTTGGGATGTTCGCCTCCCCCGTCTGTCACACACAGGCAGCCCTGCCACTGCCAACATGACCAGCAGGGCAGGGGCATCTGTCTCCCCCCCAGCTACCTCTCTCTCTGTCTCTCTCTGCCCCGAGACACTCTCATCTCTCTTCATCCTCCTCCTCCTACTCTCTTCCTGTTCTTCATAGCACGCATCATTCCTGTTTTACTTGTCGACTTCTGAACTTGGTGAAACGGTGACGGACGAAGTGAAAGATGACTACTCTCTTGTGGTTTTCAAAGTGTCTTGGTTTATGATTTTCTAAGGAACTCTTGACTTGCGAATTCTCTGAGATATGTTCACCTCTCAGAACGTTTAATTTTCTTGTTTTTAGAGGGCGTAAAGAGGTCAAACTCTCCTCCATCTCATAAACATAACTTTATTAATTATCCCTTTACTCCTCAAACTTCTATTGTGACCCCTCCAGCGTATTGGGAACCACTGACACACTATAGTGAACTTTAACATGTTTGTGAGACGCAGATTATTTACTCACGTTTAAGTTTTGTTACCACAGTGTAAAATACTCCGCTGATTATCAGTGTGTAGCAGGTTGAGCTGTGTGTGAGAGAGTGTGTGTGTGAATGCTGCACTAGAGGAGGGGATGACTGACTGACTGACTGACTGACTGACTGAATGGATGAATGGATGAAATAATGGGCTGCTGGTGGGAAATATCTTAACAGACATTCCACCTCCACCCCCAAACACACTCACTATTCATACACCCGTACCCCCAAACCCCAGCTGGAAAACACCACCTCCCAACACACACACACACACACACACACACACACACACACAGTGTCTACTCCCAGTGTGCAATGAAAGAGTTCATTGTCTGCAGCAGCGGCTGTGTCAAAGGGGACACACTAATTGGGACGTCCCAGTAATGATCAACACTTTGCTTCATATCTACACAACTTTCTCACGAGACTGTTAACCTGCTGATTCATCAAGACAACATCAAGACAACATGCTGATATAATATAAAATTGAGCCATTTGACCCACCAGGTGATACAGGCTTTTACTTTTAAAGGATTTTTTTTTTCTTAAAGTAGCTGTTTTGGTACTTTTACTTAAGGATCTGCGTTCCTCTAACACCACTGCTGATGTGAGCTCAAATTGGCTCGACACTGATAAAACCACAGACTGTTTAAATAATTGGACGTAGCCTCCAGGTCTGAAAAGTGAAGCCAGTGCAGAAGTGCCTTAAACCTGCATTCTTTCCAACAGCCAGCAGGGGGCGTCTCCAGTGGTTGCAAAAGCAAGTCTGGTTGTACAAAAAGTCTATGAGAAAATGACCTCTCACTTCTTATATGATTTATTTCCTCAGTTTATGGTCACAGTTGATATTTTCAAGGCTTCATCAATACATCATGATGTTCATTTTGTAAATTATGGTCCCATTTAGCAGCAGGGTATACTTTAGGGCGTGGCTACCTTCTGATTGACAAGTCGCCACCACTGCGACCTGTCAGATGTGTTCTCAGGTTCTCAGTCAGATCCACCCCTCGCTCCTCTGCAGCTTCACACTTTCATCCAAATATGATCACTTCTGGCTCCCCACAAAAAACAGTCCATGGTTGAAACATGAAAGTGGTGCCATCCAGAAAGTTCTACATCCTATAAGAAATGTAGTTACTTTGGAAAATTTCAGATTATATAGTATGAAATATGGAACTGCCCTGCAGCACGGTGCTTGTTTAACCTGATCAGTATTTTTCCAAAAATCCAACCAGTGAAAACCATGTGCCACATGTGCTTTTCAGTAGAGACACACTAACACAATTATTTTTGTTCCCTTTAATTGATGAAGCTTCAATTATCTCTCAGATCTCAGTGTGTGGAGACAGAAGGTATCCCTCCTAGCACCGTTATCCCAGGGTGTGCCCCAGGGATTGGTCCTGGGACCACTCCTATTCATTATATATATCAACAGCAGGGCTCAACAATAACGATTGCCCGCTTGGGGCAAGTAAAACTCAAGGTCGGGCATGTAAACTAACAACTCATTTGCCCAATTGGGCAAGTTGCTAAAAATAGTAAAAGTTAATAACTAATTGATAAAATAAATGTATTTTAAAACGTGCTCCTTCGGCTCTGATGCAGCGGTCTCTCTGCCTGAAGTCACAGGCACAGCTGTGTAACAATGTCCTGCCCACGGCTCCCATTGATATTATTTTGCACGACGGACGCTTCATATAATAACATAACAATATACTATTTATAATGTTATGTCATCGTGTCATTTCTGTCTCTACATGGTCACACGTTAACAATTCTCCTCTGCTCTCTGCATCGCGCATGGCGGAGTTACGCCACACACACAGGTGAGCACGCAAGAGCGGCTCGGGCCGCATTTTCCTGACCAAACCTGACCCCGAGCCCGGTGCAGTTTGTCAGCTGACAAAGTTATTGAAATGGACAGTGTGTAAATAACCATCGACAGACTGCTGTTACGCACAGACAAACACGCTGCACTCCGAGCAGCGTAGCATAGCACTCATGCTGAGCTTGTGTTGCGTTCAGGCGCTGTCACGTAAATAACAACTTCTAGCACTTAAATAGGTCATAGCACAAAACAGCAGCATGTCATGTGACTTTTTACTTTTATTATATTCAATACAATTGTATGTTCCTAAATCTTGAGACACCTCATATGTAAGCTAGACAGACATTTCACCTGCTCATTACTGTGCACACATGTACTGTATGTACTTAGTCCAAAAGAGCCCTTCTGGTGCCAGTAGATACATAGAAACATCGCAGCAGGCTGTGCTTTGCAAGCATAAAAAAAAGTTTCACACATGTGAAAATTATTTTTCATGCGTGTGCTTCACCTCCGCTGCTACAACTCCATCCTAGGGGAAACACTGCTGTGTGCGTTTTGTGCAACAGGTGGATGTGGTAGTCTACTGGTAGAGTAGAGAGAGAGCTAAGTAGCGTTGAAGTAGAGTAGAGCAGGGCAGAGAGATGGAAGCAAAATATATTAAACCTGGTGTTAATACAGCAGAACTGGAGAGAGGGGTGAAAAATAAATAGAGGTGGGCATGGGCGCAAAATTATAGACGGAGAACGATTGACAAATTTTTCACTTTAAGCCCTGACACTGTCATTTTTGTGTAGGAATTAAGCTACAATACATGACATATGTTGTTTTAATTAATAAATACAGTGTGAATAAAGATTACATAACATAAAAATAACTGCAGTCTTTGTTATTTGATAGCCGCTTAAATTAAACAATTTTTATCGGGCAAGTGAAAAAAAAAACTTAGCGTTGAACCCTGAACAGTCTTGGCTGAAATATTTCCAATGCAAATTTCGAGCTTTATGCCGTTGATACAGTGGCTGCTCTGCGTCTACACCAAACCAGGCTCTTTGTTAGCTACGACTTGCTTTTAATTCTGAATTCTGAACAAGTTCTCCTTGTGTGATTTAAAACTTATTAAAACTGACAAAACAAAACTTGTGTTTTCAAATGCTAAATAAAAGCCACTGATTCTCCCCACTATTATATTTTTTCAGGGCTCTGAGATTGAGTCTGTATCTCATTACAAGTGTATTTAAATTATAATTGTAACAGTTGTCTTTCTTTTACGCTTCACATTCAGCAACTGGTGAAAAAAAATGAAGTTAAAATTGGGTTTTTGTTTTAGCAGCAAGTCTTGCTTTTTTCCTTTGAGGCCAAAAGGAGACTTGTAGCTGTCACATTACCTGGACTATGGAATTACTTTATACATTTAGCATCTTCACGAAGCCTACACACTGTAGTCGATACTTAAGTTAGTCGATAAAGAATAAATAAGCAACTATTTTTATAATAGAGTGATTATTTTAGAAAAACGTCAAACATTAGCTGGTTCTAGGTTCTCAAATGTGACGATTTGATCATTTTTCCCCTCTTACATAAGTGTAAACTGAATATCTTTGAGTTCATGACTGTTGATTGGAATAAACAAGATATTTGGAGACTTTACCTGACATTTTTTTACCACTGGGTGACATTTTATAGACAAAATGATTCAGTGTGCTATTGAGAAAATCATTAGCAGATTACTCAATGATCTGACTCATTCATTTCAGTCAGTATTGTTGGATATAAATGAAGTTTAGCAGGTGAGTGCGTCACTATTTTCCAGCTCCTGATTCACCTCCTTGTCTGCACAATCTCTAATTATAAAACTTACACCGCTGTCAGACTTGTGTAAACAGTGTTGATTACTTGATCAACACAAAGTCCAGTGATATTTAAAAAAGCTCTTTGTGAATCCAGCTCTCTTTCAATATTTACAACATTTGGTTTTATATCAGCCAGGAGGGTACGTTCCTCTCACACACTTTCAGTCAATATTGTGTGTGTGTGTGTGTGTGTGTGTGTTGCAGGCTGCAGCAGTTGGACCGTCACTGTCAGAGCAGCGCCCAGCAGGTGTGTGAGCTGTTGGCCAAACAGAACCAGCTGATGCAGGAGAGAAACACACTCACCGAGGAGATGCAGAGCCTACACATGGAGGTAAACACACACACTCTTGTGTCTCACACACACACACAGCAGAGTGTGTGACTCACTGTTGTGTTTCTAAATGAATTTGTGATGGTGTCTTTTCTCTCCAGGTGCACGTTATAGTTGTCAGTTTACTAAAACAAAATCAGTAAGAAGACGTTCGTCCCGTCATGACTAATGATTCTGTCTGGTTCTGAAAACATGTTGTCTATATTCTGCTCAGAGAGATAATGTGTGTCTTATTGAATGCTGTGTGTGTGTGTGTGTGTGTGTGTGTGTGTGTGTGTGTGTCTTTTTAGCTCCCGAACACGAGACAAGTCAATACTCTGTCCACATGAGTCCGTCCAGTCTGGATCTGAAGTCAGACGTCTCCTGTTGAGAAGATCATATCAAACTGTTATTTACAGGTTTACAGGTGTGTTCATCCTTTTTAAATTAAGGGTCACTGCACACACAAATGTTTTGTTATCAGAACTGATGATCAGGTTTACAGTTCGTATTTCACATTTGGCGACAGACTGTTACTGTGATATATTGAGAGGTTAGAGGTACGAGGACGTTGGGTTCAGCCTTTTTTTTTTTTTTTTTTTTTTTAAATGTTTGTACATTTTTTACAGATTTAATAAACAAAATCACTGGTGCATTAACGAGCTTTTGAAATGTGCTAAATTATGATTTATAAACATTTTCTAGATTTTCTGCTCCTTTTTTTTTCCAAAACACATTTTTGGGAAGTTAAGTCATAGCTCCAAAGACTGAACAATGGGCCTCACGAGAGAACGTATTCTTATCTTAAGCTGATTTTTTTGTAGGGTAGGCGCTCATGAGTGTGCCACATCAGATTCAGTAAGCGCTCCTAACTCCAACTGTGTAAATGAAATACGTAAAGACAATGAATGCCACCTAAGTAAGTGCACATTCATGATACCGTACAACTATATTTGGTAGCCACAAGCTATTTAATTCCTTTATACAACACTGTTGCTCAGCAAAGATGGGAAATATGATCAGATTGTTTATTTAAATCAGTGTGAATATTACTTGTATAAAAATTAGGCTTTCAATAACAAATCAATTATGTGTTATGTTATGACACGTTTCACGGCACTCGGTATACCGACACAACACCACTTTATCCTGTTAAAACAATATTCATAACTTGGATTAATTTTTATGAAAAAGACTTTTGATTCTTTTGATCAGTGGACCTGTACGGACTAAAGAAATATAAATAACTTCCTGGGTAATCGAGGAGTGGACACATATTTTGACCTTATGACAGCTTCAGAGGAAGGGAGTCACTTGTTTTTTCGTCATGCCGGTAAATCCAAATGACTCACGGTCTTCTCTGGTGCTCATGGTTTCAGTAAAATGAAATCAACTGATCTAACAATGTGTAGAAGTTTAAACATTTATATTTGTATGTGCGATCTCAACAGCCAACTTATGTTAGCTTAAGTGGGTAGTCGACAACCTGGTTTTATAAATCCAAAGAACTTCTATAAAAATTAACTGCTTGACAACCAGACCAGGCCTCTAATTGAGACAGGCCTTTATTTGTCGGGCTAGTACAAGGGACTGGGCATTTATCTGGGACCAGGCTTATAATTTAAATCTTATGGAAATCGTAAACTGGCATAACAAACGTCCATAATTTTTAAGAGCGTCTGCTAAAGCCAAGGAATAGGAATAAATGACAGCCATTAATGATGTGTCACCCGAGGGCCGTCCTGTCACTGAAATAAAAAAATGGTTTGATATGAAAAACATTTCACCACAGCAAGGTGATCAATGACTGTAAGATCATATTGTTCATATTGATGTGGCAGTGTTATACAACAGCATAAATACCCAATTTATGCTATACAGCTTTAACTGCAGGGTCAAACAGAATTTCAACACAAGAGTAATTTACATCAGTTTTTTTATCTCCAAATTGCTTCAAAGTAATTAAATATGCAATCCAGGAGTGGAAATTTGGGTTTGGATGACAGCAGACTAACTGCACATGACTCTTACAGCAGGTCTGGACCACTATATTGTGTTTGTGCTTAAGAGAAAATTCAAAATATGAAGAAAATTACTGAATATAGAGAGTTCTCATACAAGCCCCTTAAGAACAAACCTGTTCTTACATGAGACTCAGTATTTCTAGTTTAATTTTTATTTTTAGCATTTTAATTAATGTGAAAGTTCAGAAAATAACTAGCATTTGTAGCCACAAAGCAAATACAAGTTGACACGGAGGCAGCAGATTGACATAGTGCTTTATTGAAGCTGTCTGTAAGAAGGAAAATAATGTGCATCCCTATCATATACATTTTATGTGTAAAAATACTAAGGATGTACAGTGTAAAAAACAGCTTCATGTTGATGGTAATTTGTTGTTTTCACATCCTGGCGGCCTCACCGGCCAGCAGCACTGTATCCTGACAGCATGAGGGACAGAAAAAGGCTGTTTGATCGATCTGCTGAGTTTCCCGACACTCGACTGTCTCAGAGTTAGCGTCACCTCTGCTCCGCTGACGTGTCAGTGAGCAGAGGTGACCTCAGTATTACAGTGTTTTTCGGGGGAAACGTGGCCCGCTCTGAGAACAGCTGGCAGCTGTCCACAAATGTCTCACACAGCTGTAAAGCTACAGTAGATGGACATGGACATGAAATGAAAACTCAGTTACACTTTGTAATATTTGTACATGTTTGCCGTTTTTTGTTTGCTGTTTATAAATAAATGCATCTCATGCTTGTTCATGTTAATAATCATGATGATAGTAGACTAGTACCAGAGAAAGAGGAGAGGGGAGGAGTTCTGTCGCAGACACGAGGTCAAATACTGTCAGAAATCCTTCCAAACACTGGAGCCGTTTACTTATTATCTGCATTAAACGCCACGCTGAGTGCGGTTTGTGATTTCTGGCTGACGCCGTCGCTTCATTAACAACGTGCGAGATCAATACAGAGCAGCTGAGGTCTTTGAAAGGATTTAACATATTCAAATACTACTGGAGTCAGATCTGTTGTGTGATAGATGTACAGTAGAAACAGCAGCAGCTTTAAGAGTGGACACTGTCAGTGCAGCGTCAGATATCTCACATACTGTCGACTCACACCAGTCGAGGGCACCAGTAACGCTGTGAGGAGGCTTAAACTGACTTTCAGCGTCCAGTTTAAGAAATTACTGACGTGCCCACAACTGATTCATAGTCTTTAAGGGAAAACCCACACTGACGAAGAGGATTACTAAGCTCCACCTTCTCCACGTACAGTAGCTGGAGGAAAACATTTATTTTTTTATGATCTCTGACCTTAGAATCAGTGTCTGGCGTCACTGCTGCCAGTAAATAAACTCGAGGATTAAACGAGGAGAGTTGAGGCTCGACGGAGGGAAAACTTCTCAAAACAGACGAGGAGAAGAAGTCAGTGACATCTGTGGATTTTTCCAAACGTTATGAACACTGACCAATTTACTGAACATTTCCACTGAGTGTGATTCTGCAGTGGCAGCAATGACTCGTCTCTGTGGGACACAATCACCCAGGTCCTGCCAACTCCAGACATCAGAGCAACATGAAAGCTATCGGTTGTATGTGGAGGGGAGATGTGCTTTAAAAATCCTCATTTTCTTAAAAACATTTAAAAAAAAAAAAGAAGCTAAAAATCTTCCTTTAAAGCAGGGCTGAATCAGATTCCTCTGAATCATATAAAAAGTGATGGATGTGAAAGTGCTGTGGCCAAAGCTACAAAGCGGTATTTTATGAACTCTGGTTTCTAATGTTTTTGGCGGTAAGCGTGCGCATACAGCTAGAACTCCTCAGTTGCTCACAGACCAGGGTCAAATCAAAGCTGAAATCCTTCCAAATACTTGGGAGCGTTTGCTTGAGCCTGTCGACAGTGCCAGCTGGGTGGGAACTGTTCTCATTTTGAACTTTTTCGGCTGCTTCAGCTGTGCCAGACAGGCTCAATCGATCACAGAGAAGTATTTTTCATAAGAGTTCTGAGTGCCACTTTGACTCAGGACTGGTAGTGCGGACAGAGGACTACAGCATGCAGGCCAGCGCCATCCTTTTCTACTTTCTGCCATAAAGCGCCTTTGCCAGCTAGTAGCAATTTAATGGATGTGCAAGAGTAAAGCATATGGACTTAAGAGCAGCGGAAAAACAGGTAATGTGTCGTATAAGAGATATCTGTAAAGAAAAAAAAAAGGAGGCATTTATTTTTAGAACAAAATCTCTGAAGACTTAAACTGCAGAGTGAAACACGACTACGCCCCCTCACTGCTAAACTCCCAAACAAAATGACATCAAATAAATTAAATAGAAAAGAAATTCAAGTTATCCATCAATGATAATAATAAAAACATTCAAATAATAAATATATTGGAATAGTTTTCTACGCCTCAAGAGAGCACATCCCCTGGTGCTCTCTTTTTAATCATCCAGATATTCAAGGTGATGTCTTCCACGTGGTTTTAAGATGAAATTTAAAATTTTTAAAAATATATTTCCTCACATCTGGTTCATCTTTTTTGGGACTTTCTGAGCTAAACCATAAGGCTTACTGGCGTTTGAAGACAGAGAAATTGAGGGGATTTTAAATCTTGTTGGTCAGACTGGAAGACATGATGACGCAAACAAACAAAGTCCAGACTGGAGAGGTGACGGTGCACATAAAGGACAGAGGAGCGTGACTCTGATCATCCACACTCTTTCTAAGAACTGTCTGACCTTACAAACATATCCAAACACTGTCATTCCACTTTCTCCTCCGCTCTGTCTCGACACACTTACAGTGAACAGTAGCACTTACACATCACCGCTTTACATTCAGACTGCTGTGCTGCACTTGTTTCCTTTCTGCTCAACTTCCACTTCTTCTTTCTCTCTGAACTGCCTTCACCAACACACACCTGGGGTAACATTAAATATGAGGAACATTTGAGTCAACGTGCAATCAGGTGAGAAGAGCCTTTAGAGCAGGCCTATTCAATTAGCGGGCCCAGAAGCAACCTCTGAGTCGCCCGAGCAGGGATTGTTGAAGGACTTGTTTTTTGGGCAGACGTAGCTAGCAAGAAAATAACAAACTGCCTTGTAGAGTGTTCAGTCTAACAGTCTAATGTGTTTTAAGCCACAACACTCAGAGGGGAAGACAGAATAGCTGTCTACTTCAATAGCTCACAGTGTTAGAGGACTGTTTAGAGATCCTGATGTTGTGGGTTCAATACTAAGTGATGCTCAGTGAATTTTGAATGCCTTTGTGCAAATGAAGTGTGTGATTTTTCTCTGTATATTTCCATGTACTGCGTGGACTGCCATTAAATGTAATACTGGTATTCATGTCCCCCTCAGGACAAGTCAAGATTGAAAACATCCTTATAATGATGATGTTGATAGGTTAATAGAGTTCAAGCCTATGTCTTGAAAGCAGAGAGACAGCCTTCTGAACAGCTGTCCCCAATTAATCCCTCCTACTAGGACACCTTAACAGCTGACTTTTGAATGCATTTGTCCAAAAGAGAGACTGAAAATCTTCAACAAAGAGAGCTCACGTGTCTCCAGTTCATTAGC